AAGAAAACTCAATGAAATTGAAGAGAAAATAGAAACTCAACATAAAGAAACCACAAGAACAATACAGGAAATGAATGAAAAATTCTCTAAAGAAATTAAAATACTATGGAAAAACCAAACAGAAATCTTGGAAATAAAGGAGGCTTTCAAGGAACTTTAAAGCACAGTGGAAAGTCTCAAGAATAGAATGGATCATGCAGAGGAAAGAATCTCAGAACTTGAAGATAATGCCTATGTGCTAAACAAATCGGACAAAGAAAAATAACACAGAAACAAGAGACAAGACCAAAACATACAAGAAATGTGGGATTATGTAAAGAAGCCAAATATAAGAATCATTGGCATTCCAGAGAGAGAAGAAGAAAATACACAAAGGCTGGAAAACTTATTTCATGGAATACTGGAGGAAAATATGCTTGGCATGGCCAGAAATCTAGATATCCAGATACAAGAAGCACATAGAACTCCTGGGAGACTAAGTGTGAAAAGGCAATTAGCATGACATGTAGTTATTAGGCTGACCAAAGTAAACACGAAAGCCCAGTTCTTTAATACTATCTCTTGCATTTATTTGCAATGCCATGTGCTTACCTGGTTGGAAAGATTGGAGTTAGAACCTATGTATTAATATATAGCTCTTCTGAGCAACAGTCACTGGTACACTATAGTTGAATCAGTAGTTTTTAGTACTTTGCTTCCCATGATTTTTGGATGCATACTTTAAAATCTGGACATGTGATAGAAATATGTCTTCCATGAGAACATCATCTGTCATGTATATAATGGTGGGGAAAATAGGCTGAGAATTGCTGTTCTATATCATATAGCAAATACCTATTAAGCCAGAATAGTGGAAACAATTGTGTAGTTTTTATTTGCTTTCCATGTGTGTGCATATGTTTTGTATACCTATTATTTATTGTAAGGCTGTATTTGGGCCCTGGTAAATAATTCATGTCACATTGGTAGAAATAGTCATTACTTTGTTTCACATCACAGAATTCATCTATGATGCACATTGATCAGTTTTACATTGATAAGCATCTCTAATATTGGTTTCAGCAAAATTTTTAGTCTCTTTATTACAAAATAAATTATATTTCTGATTTTCTAAAAAAGATAATATTTATTGGTCAATGGGCAAATAATTTACTTCCTGGTTTCAATTTCTATTAACCCCATATTTTAAAAATATGTTCTTTTCATATTTCTCATTTTTTGAAAAAAATCCACACTTTTGAGGATGAATCCTTTCATTTCCCTTGAGTTTATAAGCCTTAAAAAGTTACAGTTCAAACACAATGTTTTTCATAAAGGGAAATCTTAAAAGACAAATATTATTCCAAACCAGTTCATGGACTTTGGAGAGATATCTAGTAAAATCACTAGGCAACGAATAATTAGTTAATGGAAGAGTGTTGAAATTAATAAAGGAATGAGATAAAAGAGAAAGATGTGGGACATTACTAGTGTTAACCAACACATTTTTGCTTTTTTTTTTTTTTTTTTTTGAAACAGAGTCTCACTGTGTTGCCCGGGCTAGAGTGCTGTGGCATCAGCCTAGCTCACAGCAACCTCAAACTCCTGGGCTCAATCAATCCTCCTGCCTCAGCCTTCCGAGTAGCTGGGACTACAGGCATGTGCCACCATGTCCGCCTAATTTTTTCTATGTATTTTTAGTTGTCCAATTAATTTCTTTCTATTTTTAGTAGAGACGGGGTCTCACTCTTGCACAGGCTGGTTTCAAACTCCTGAGCTCAAACAATCCGCCCACCTCAGCCTCCCAGAGAGCTAGGATTACAGGCGTGAGCCACTGCACCCGGCCCATTTTTGCTTTTTTCAAGTTTGAGGTGGTTCTATTTTTCCATTGTTAGCTCACTTGCTAAAACAATTCAAACTACAACTTTATTCTGAGTTATTCATTTACTGCATTTGTAAAAATTTAAACCAGACTTTCAAAAGAACACTGTCTTAGTCCATCTGGGCCCCTGTAACAAAATATCATAACCTGGGTGGGCTATAAGCCACAGAAATTGATTTCTCACAGTTGTGGAGACTGGGAAGTGCAAGATCAAGGCACCAGAGATTCAGTGTCTGGTGAAGGTCCACTTCCTGGTTCAGAGATGGTGCCTTCTCACTGTGTCCTCACAGGGTGGAGGGGGCAAGGCAGCTCTCTGTGACGTCTTTTATTAGGGCATTAATCCCATTCATGAGGGCTCCTCCCTCATGACCTAATCACCTCCCAAAGACTCCACCTCTTAATACCATCACAGTGGGGATTAGGCTTTAGGATATGAATTGGAGGGCGGGGGGACCACAAATATTCAGACCATAGCAAACACACGCTTATTTTAGATTTCATAGAACTTTTAGTGATGCATGTGGATAAAATCTTTATGTAGTTACAATTTTTGAACAATAAAAAGTAATAACATCAGACTAAATTTTCTGTAAGCTAAGAGTAAGTACTATAGAACTTAAAACATAAGAACAAGACGAATTTCACACTTTCAAGAGGCACTACTATTTTCATAAGAGGAGGAAAAGAGTTCTCCGCACTGTTTCCTTGTTGACCTTTTATGCTCAAATTTAAAGTGGATAACTACCCTCCAAACTTGTCTAAGAGAATTGACGCAGAGCAGACACACATGGAAGAATAACTGAATATTCCAGCTGATATTTAAGTCAATACCTTCAGGCTGAAGATGAACAAACTAAAATCTGAGCAATAAAGCAATTAATCTGTGGTCGCTTTGCTGGTTAACAGCAAAGCTGGGACCATAAATCTCATTTTTTATTCTAGTTTAGTGTCCTTTCTACCTTCCAAATTGCCTACTATATTCTTTTTCCCCCCAATCCAGACAAAAAAACAAATTTTCTGGCTTAATTGTACAAAAGGTCCACATAAAGAGAATAACTCTAAAGTCTGATTTATACAAAAAGGTTAGAACTAACATCATTGTGATGTTCATAAGGTGCAATATGAAAATATACTTTTTATTACTAGATAATATTATTTTCTAAATTTAATATTTAAATATATTTTAACCTAGGCTAATTCTAGAATTTATGCATATCAAACTGAAATTCCTAAAACGTAGATGTTCTATGCCAACAGGGCTGGTAATTTACACATCATACACTGTAAATATAAACCATGAAAAACTTAAATATAGATTGCTCTGGTCTAAAAAGATAGTCAATGAACTAAAATATCCACTGCAACAAAATCCTGACATCAAATTCTACACTATGGACATATTTTGACACTATGAATAATTCTGATCAAAAAAACTCCCTACCATGGTTAGAAATAAAATGTGTATTTTCCAATTCTGCTATAACAAATAAGTTTCCACGTAAGATAGGAAAAATACAACAGGCACCAGGAAAACAACCTTTGTAGATTTCAAGAGTAGTATACCATCTTCCAGAAAGTTTAAATAACTCTGTCTTGTCTTCTTAGTCTAAAAAGGTCCTTTGCCACATGACTGTGAATTCATTAAGAGCCGTAACGTTATCTTTAGTCCCCTAGGCCTGTGACATTGTAGGTGTCTCATAAATGCTTGCTAAATGACTGCAGGAACATTAAATATTACCGAATATAGCAAACAACATCAAAAAGCTTTCCTAGCTTATCATCCATAGGTAATAACATTGTTTTGGACTTTTTTTTTCCTTCAGGTTTTACCATCCTCTTGGAATATGATATAAATTTAAGACAGTGATTTTTTTAAAAGTACAGTCTGAAAGGTCTTCATTTAAAGTTAATTTAGTATAAAAGCACATTTGTGGGTATATAAAACCATCATTTTAATTTACTATAACAAAACTGATTATAATTACGTATTTTTTTATATTAGCCAACAAAGTGACCTTAAATGCAATTAAAAAGAGAATATACTTTACATTTTTTACAAATACTTTAATTTTTCCAGGGGAAAATTTTTATGTTCCACCTATGCCTATACTGTGTTTAATGTTTACAAAAATTTAATCTGAAAGCAAAATGGCCTCAATGTGCTTTGACATGAGAAACAATTCAGTGCAAACCAAGAAGATCAAGAAATGGTTGATGTATAAGAAAATGTCAAAATCCCTTGCAGCATTCTGTGATTTCAGGGTCTGAGCACATCTGGAAGTGGCATCAATCAAGTTAGACTTCAAGAAGTTTTCTCGCACCAGTGGAGAGGAAGGAGCCAACACGCACAGACATGAACCTCAGATCTTCGACATCTGCTCCTCAGTTTGTGGTCCAAGGCAGCCGTATCGTGGCTAGAAACGAAGGCTGCTTTCTGGTCAGGCACACCCCGCATCCCCGAAGAGTCTGCCACATCAAAGGTAGGGTGACTTACCGTCCTGGGATGTGTGGGTCTCCTGTACACGTGGCATGCTTGATGGTTCTGGTGGGTAAACATAAGGCTGCTATGCACAATATTCAGCCACTGGTAAGGCACGGGTCTCATAGTTTTCTACTTAAAATCAGAAATGTAAAAGCATTTTCTTACACACATTTTGAATGATAATTCCAAAGCTAACCTGTTAATCTTCTAATATTCCAATTAGCTAATTATCTACATCTTAAATACACATATACATTGATTTTTAATAAACTTACCGCATGAATAGGAATAGTATGCATTTTTCTTATTTAATCATTTCTTTTCAATTCTAAACCATCCCAGTGTTAAAGGACACTCATCTACTAAGGAAACGATTACCCCAGACAAAATAATTAGTTTCTTTCCCATCCAACTGCGATTGCACGTCAATCAGAGAATGAGGCAGGGCCACAAGGGTTGAGTCTTTGCCTGGCACTCTCAGAGAGGGGAACCCTTCTTTTTGATCACTGCAGTAATGGAAACTTGTTGTCCCATAGGCAGAGCTGGTGTTTCCTGAGCCCAAGACTCCATTCCCTAATTCTTCTGTGTATACAAGGACATTAATGAAACTCCCCCACCAGGATTGCAGCTAACCTTCCCCACTGCTGGATTGAGTTTTACATTTCCCTGATTAGCTTTAAGTCATTTGATTCTGAAGCCACTTTAACGCCATTCCTCTTAACCCTTCACCCTTGTTTTTTGTGGTTCTTTCCTAACTCTTGGATAGATAGAATCTGAATTTTTCCATATTACTTATGTTCCGTGTAAGATATATAGAAAAAAATGTGTGTCCCAATAAGGAAGACAAAAAGGAAAAAAAGTAGGGATGGAGAAAAGATTTTTTTTCCTGAAAGTCCTCCAGCAAACACACACACACACACACACACACATGCACACACATGCATGACACACACACACACACGCACCTTTTACTAATTAAAGGAGGTTGCAGAGAAAATACAGTTTTTCCACTGACTTGTTATGTGTTAAGGTTTTATACGTTTCACTTGGCAGGCAATTTTTCACTATGCACCTGAACCAATCACTAACCTAGGCGTTTAAGATACAATGATAAGATGTGATTCCGTCTTCAAAAATTTTATTCTCATTTCTCTTTAGAACCGATTACTATCAGTAAAGTTCTAAGTGTTAGACTAAATGAAGCTTTATGTTTGGATGTTATTCATTTATTCAACAAATAATCACAGAGCACCTACTTTCCGCTAGGCCCTGGTCTAGGTACTGGGAATAGAGCTGCAAACAAAACAGATAAAACCCTCGCTCTCGTGAAGCCCGCATTTTAGTGCAGCTCGGACAAGCGATGTGCAAACTGATACAATGTGACGCGTGACAAAGAGCACGCGGGACCAGGAGGGGGCCAGGAGGGGGGTGCGTTTCAGATGGGGTTTCGGCAAAGACCTTTTTGATTTCACTGAACAGACGGTTAAGAAGGAAGTGATCCTAGAGGGAGGTTTGGAAGAATGAGCGAGTGTGAAAAATATTATCTAAAAACTTGCCTGGCAACGTCTTAGGAGACAAAGCAGTGTCTCTTATTACCTGTAGTAGTAACTCACCGATGAACAGAAAGCAGTGCCCTGCCCACTCCCATTTCCTAAGCGGTCCAATCCCACGCAACTTAGCATTGCTATTGAAAAGAGAATCTGCCCACAATTTAATATTTGAACTAAATTCTATATTTGAGCCAAAAGCAAATAGCTGTTGGAGGACAGGGAGTGAACACAGAAGTCTCTGACATGAGGAAGGAGGTCCCTTTGGACCGAATTCCCCTCCCTTGCTTCCCTCACAATCTACCCCATCCTCCCTCCCATCCCTCTCTCCGACAGCTTTTTACCTTCTGCCAGCACAAAGAGGAGCCAGTGAGCCTCTTTCGGAGAACCTTGCGATACTGAAGCATCCTGGATGCTTTCAGAAATTCAGATCTGATATTCATGGAGAGGGTGAGCACAGTCCCTCCTGGTCATTATGAACACGTGGGAAATGAGAGAGCGACAGCTCTCAACTCCACTTGACTCCCAGACCAAGATTAAAGATGCGGGCCTGGTTCTCAAGGCCGACAAGATGGCAGAACATTTTTAAGGAAGCGTATATTGCAAACAACATTGGCTACGCTGACTTTCAAAGAATGTCTACCTAGCACTGGTTCATACAATTTGAAGTCTAACATTTTCCGTACATTTAACAATATTTGGCTGGGAAATTGTTTAATCCTTTTCATCCCTACTCATCCAGGTTTGAACAACATTCCAATCTGCACCGTGAATGATGATGAGAATGCATCGTGGGGTGGTTCCCAGCTTATCCCTTTAGAGAAGGACAAGACACCTTGTGCCAAATGCAGCTGCCCACCCAGCGCTGCAGCCCCAAAGAGCCCCGTCAGAGGAGTGTCACCAGCTTCAAACAGTATCAAAATGCCCCCACGGCCTCATTCGGGTGAGTCCTTCTCAACTGATGAAATGTTTCCTTATGCCCCCTGCATAAGGAAGAAAGATCGGGGAAGATCTTTTCTTAATTGGGAAGAAAGATCGATACGATTGCTAAAATAGCTGCAGTGATTTTTTAAAAAGTTATAAAAATTTCCTCAGTGTGAAATAAGTTATTCATTATAAAAATTTTTCACTCTTCTAATCTCAATTCAGCAGGAAGATAATGTTTAAAATGTTACTACTATGTCCAATATATATTAACTGTGTCCAGTATATATCTGGTATGGTTCTAGTCTCTAATCCCTATGAAACTAGCTAAGAGATGCCGGCAGTGACTGTTTAGCCGACACCGACAGGGAAACCATGCCACACAAAAAGGGAGTCCAGGAAACGCAATCGGGATGCAATCGCGTGTCTACATTTTCCCCATGAGCTTGTCATCTCCTTCAGGCCGGGCCCTGGATCATTGCCTTCTGTGTTTTTGCCATTCTTCATTTGTCCCCATGGCCCAGCACAGTGCCTGGTCCTTAGTAAACAATTCAATCCATTAATTTTACCGAATTGAAGGGAAAAGGAATTGATCAAAAGTAAAGTGTGACAAAATCCAAAGGGCAAGATAAAATAGAAGAAAAAGTTCCGCATGGCAGAAAGAGAAAGTTCTTCTCTTTCTCCAAATCGACACAATGATATGGTATTACTGACACCTTCAGAGTACGTGAAAATTATTACGGTATAATGTGGTAAGTAGATATCTTTCTAATGATAGTGAGAAGGATCATTTACAGAGTACCCACTATGTGACAGGCACCATTCTCAGCTCTTCTCACTGACCTCATTCCATCGTTTCAAGAGCTCTTCTTCCCTCCTTTCTACTGGCAATGAAGAGTCAAAGCCTAATTACTCCACCTTCTTTCTGGTGTCCCTTCTTATACCATAGAACCTAGAAACTTAAAAAACACATTTGCAAGAAGGAGTCCATTGATGGGCATTAGGTGTTACCATCTAGGAAGACGTGGGGCTGTCATCTTTTTGGTGGCTTTCTCCTATCAAGCATGACTGGAGACGTGAATTTTTCCGCTACAACCTCCCAGGGTTCAGGTTCTGGACTCGTGGCTTTCTGACTGCACGCATAACACTGCCTAACCCTTAGTCTTACGGATGTTGCAGCAGCCACAGAAGTGGGAGTGGCTGACTCCCCTTCCTCCTGACTGTCACAGAGACTGTGCTTCCCTTGGTGGATCAGGCCCAGGGTATTGTTCTTGGAGTCAGTTGTGATGATTAAGACCAGAGTGCACTGCTCCAACAATACTAAAAACTCCTAATTCCCTGTATTATTTACATTTTTGCTTAAAATAGAATGGTTTCTGTTTCCCACAAGTGAACACTAACTTAATAAACATCCATAATTTTGTTTTCATTACTTGGAGAGAGGTAACTTAAAACTTTATTTTTCTATCTTTCTTCAGCTAGACCTAATGAATTTGGTTACTATTGGCTACATGCACAAAATCTTTCCAACTTTTTAAAAATTTGGGGGAATATTATGGCTTCAATAAAAGAGATAGCATTGCTTACACAGAGTATATCTTTAAATTAATGTAAAGGAAAATTAAGCAAAGCTTTAAGTGGCTTTGGGGTATTTTAAGGGGATTTAATTAGATGACTGAGTATGAAATAGGTTTATAAAACAAGAAAGAGAAAATAAAGAATGTAATTTTAACTCAGCAAAAATCTTCTCTTTCTGTCTACAGGGCAAATGACAAGCATAAATTCTCTTTAATGAGAGAAAGTGACAGTTACATGGACAGGAAACAGAGAAAAATATGTCTTATACTGAAATATGTACCTTTAAAATCAGTTTAACCAGAGCAAGAAAGCACTTGCATTATATTTTAATATAATCATCTTAGGCATAGAATTAGTTTTTTTTAATATAAGTATGCTTTTATTTGTTATCATAATGCCATTTTACCTTCAAGTTTCCTAACATTTATAAACAGATCCCAGAGTTGACTTTCATTTAAATTCAGACGTACTCTCATCTATTTCAGCCACTGACACATGTGATAGAAATTCTTTATCAGTTTACTCTAAATGTGTTTTTCCTCAATTTCATTTCAGAGCCCAGTAGAAAAATCAAAGAGTGCTTCAAAACTTCCAGTGAGAATCCCTTAGTAATTAAAAAGGTAAAGAAATAGCTATTTATAGTTATCTATTTGGTTTGGCTTCTATAGTTTCCTCCCTTTTCCTCGTATACCTTTCTGAAAAGTCACTACATTTGACACTATTTTTACAGCTTTAGTAAAGTGTAATTAACATGCTATAAGATGCATATATTCAAAGTGCACGATCGGATGAGTTTTGACAGATACATGGACACACCTGGGAAATTATCACTGTATTCAAGAGAATCCACATGTCCGTCACCTGCAAAGTCTTCTCATGATGCTGGCCCTCCCACAAGCAAACATTTGTCTGCTTTATGTCACTAAAGATTAGCGTGAGATTTGTTGAATTTTATATTAATAAAATCATATAGTGAGTTCTCTTTATAAGATCTAGTTTCCTTAACTTAGCATCATTATTTTAAGATTTGTCCATGTTGTTATGTGCATCCATAGTTCATTCCTTTTTATTGTTGAGTAACATTCAGTTGTGTGGTTATCTTACAATTTGTTTGTCCATTCACCTGTTGAGAGACATTTAAGTTGCTTCTAATTTTTTTTTTTTTTTTTTTTTGGCGATAGAGTCTTGATCTTTCACTCAGGCTAGAGTGCAGTGGTGTCATCATAGCTCACTGCAACCTCCAACTCCTGGGCTCAGGGGATCCTCCTGCCTCAGCCTCCAGAATAGCCGGGACAACAGGTGCTGGGACAACAGGCACACACCACCATGCCCAGCTAATTTTTTTCTATTTTTTGTAGAGACGGAGTCTCACTATGTTGCCCAGGCTGGTCTTGAACTAGTATCTTCACAGACCATAGTGGAATAAAATTAGAAATCAATTCCAAGAGAAACACTCAAATCTACACACAGTCATGGAAATTAAATAACCTACTGAATGATTATTGGATCAATAATGAAATTAAGATGGAAATAAAAACATTCCTTGAACTGAATGACAAAGGGGACACAAGTGGTCAAAATCTATGGGATTCAGCAAAAGCAGCCCTAAGGGGAAAATTCATACCCTTAAACGCCCACATAAAACAGACAGAAAGATCACAAATTAACCACCTTTTTTTTTCACTTTCATGGATCTTTCTTGTTAACTATAATATTTCTCATTCATTTTACATTTAATTTTCATAGAAAATATAAGTGGATGCAAATGCATATTGATTATATTATACCTTTGATTTAGGAAGAAATTAAGACCAAAAAGCCACCTTCACCTCCAAAAGCATCCTCTACTGCTGGTTCCTGTTCTTCAGGGATGATGAGTACCACCAAGAATGATGTCAAAGCAAACACTGTTTGCATACCAAACTATCTGGATCAAGAAATAAAAGTAAGAGGCAGGCTTATTAAATTCATAACGTGGGAATAGCATGAAAATACAAAAAAAAAGTTACATCATTAGCGTCTTTAAAACACTTGAATTGTTCCTTATTGATGCCTAAATTGATTTAAAACTACTTAGCCTAAAATCTAAGGCGTACTCCTATTTTCATCTCCAGTCTTACTTTTCCCTGGAATTCTGCCACTCTTACATAAATTCAACCTTTGGTTTAGACATGATGAAAAGCCTGGTGTTTGCCAAACAAACCCATTCCTGTCCTTTCCGTGTTTCTCTTTATCATCTTTGTAATGCTTGAGAAGCACTCCTCCTAACTTCTTGCCACTGTCTATAAAGTTACGTCGCCTATTTTAAGGCAGAGATTCCTCCAATTGACATTCTTCCCTCCCTCTTATCTTTGGAAAACTATTTCCTCAAACTTCCTCTGGCTGGAGTTATAAACTTAGTCATATTAATAGTAATATGTTATACAGCCTCCTGGAAGTTTCTCCCAAGCCACAGTTATTTCTGAGAATGACATAAAATCAAGAATAAATCAATCAGCTGATATTTCTCACTTGCCATTTTTCTCCTTCTTTGAATTCCTTTAGGACCCTCCCCATTGCCCACCATAAGACCCACTACAGTGAATTTGGGGTCAAAGTATTGTAATGATGACTCTTATAGCAATTTTAAGTAATCAGTGTCTGTAGTTACAATTACAAATAACAGAGCATGTTGTGAGGATGGTTATTGAACAAGCCCCTAACAGGGAACCATTTTAAAGGTAGAGCATATTAGTGGCATTGGTATGATAATTTATGCTGGTGATTAAAATTGGGAAGGAGAATAAAAGGAAAGATGTCAGAGGGAGAGTATCTGCAGATTTGACTTGTGTTTATACATGATTTCCTGGTGATTCTGGCTGATGGCAGATATTATACAGAGTCTTCAGAATCTCTGTCCACCTGCTACACTCTGGCCACACCGATCTTCCTAAAATTTGCTCATTCCCACCTTAAGGGATTTGCCCAGAGAATTCTCTTCCTTTTGATCCTCTCGGTGATCACCTTCTCATTCAGGCCTCAGTTTAAGTATCACTTACTCAGAAATACTTTCCCTGACCACCCAATCTAAATTAGCTACCTAGCCACTCTCTGGGTTATTTTTTATTCGTTATATTTTGTATAACATATGCTGTATCTGCTATGTTCATATTAATTTGTTTGGTTCAATATTTTCTCTCTCCACCCTACTTCCACTAAAATTTAAGTCATATAAGATCTCATATTTATCTTTCCTGCTTACCGATTTATCTTCAGTACCTAGATGAGTGTTAGACACCTGGTAATTATTAAATAAGTATTTGTGGAATGAATAAATCAAACAGAAAAGGGCTACCAAGATCAAAGAAAATCAGCTAATTATAAAGGTCCTCAACTCAAACAAACCACAAGCTGAGCGTAGTTTTAATAAGACTGTCCTGTTTCCGCATCAGTAGATCAGCACGATCTGTATAACTCACTCTGTGGGCATCTGTTAAAGAGCCCTCCTCTCAAAAGCATCTTCCATCTTATAGATATCAACTTCCCTGGACGTTAATTGATTTTTTAAAACCCCACTAAAATGTAAACTCTTTGAAGGTAGGGATCTTGTCTGCCTTGTTCACAACTGATTCTTCAGTGCTCATCATTTTGCTTGAAAAATATTAACCGGCACACAGAGCATGACATTTTATCAAATAGTTGTTGACTATTTATTAAATAAATGAAAGAAAAGGGAATAAAGTGTTCAAATAGGTCTTATCAAGATTTTTTGGGTTACATAAAAGAGCTCTAAAAATAGAGCTCATCTTGGAGGTATTCCATCTTTCCATGCCTTTTATATAAAAAAAAATCTGAAGTATTTTCCAATTTTCTTCTATCCGGGGTTAACTCTGAATGGGTTGTGAAATTGAGATATTTTTGCACAACGTTGTATGTGAAAGAGTATGCAGTTTCAGTTATTACTTTAAAGGAAAAGAAAAACAGAATTCTTTGTTTATTAGCACCTCATTTTAAGCCTTCCTCTTAAAGATCTGGAATTTATAGACATAACAGTCTCTTTATTACTGACATCAAAATTCTGCCAAACACATCCATTTATTCTATAAATATTTAATGTCAAACTACAAAATACTACAGTTTGGAGTATAATGGATTCCTTCATTCACAGAGTGTATTAGAGGGACCGTGCAGGTGTTGTTGAACGTATAGCAGGAAACTTTGTAGCTAGGAAGGCCGTCAAGGAGCAAGAGGCCTAAAGAATGTTTAAGATATAATTAGAAGATGAAGAGAAGTATGGAAGAGATCTTTCCCCGGCAAGAGACCTTCATGCCTTAGGGGTAAGGAGTGAGTGTTGCTTATTCAAGGAACTAAAAGCAATTAATATGGTTGATGCAGAGAGTGCAGGGAGAAGGTGGCAGAGAGAGGGCTGGACTTAAGCAGAGGCCAGATAACAAAGTACTTTATTAGCCATATCAAGGTGTCCAGTTTCATCCCAAGGTCTGTGAGAAGCCAGTCAAGAATTTTAAGCACTTAATGGTACTGAATTACTGTGTAAGTATAAGAATTACATGGTCAGAGTTGTACTTTAGAAAAATAATTCTGAATACAATAGGCAGAATTAATTTGGGGGCGTGAGGGGTGGCAAAGTTGTAAACAAGGGACAGTGGTTCTAAAATGATAGAGTAGGTTCAAAACTTAACCTGTTGTAAACAACCGTATAATTCAACAAAATGTATAAAGAAACTGTTTTCGGGTATTGGAAACAGACAGTACAGATTTATGATCATTGAGGGAAGATAAACAATTGGGATAATTTCCATATTCAACCCAGAATGTGCCCACTCATAGCACAGAGAAGTGGAGCTCTCTGGAGCCCAAGCAGAGAGCAACAGGTTCACCAGGTATAGAAAACAGAGGTCAGAATTCGGGGATGCTGGGGTGACTAGAATTTGCAAAGTAAGATACTGAAGAAGAGAAATCTGTGCGTAGAATGAGCTCCAAAAATCTGTATAGGGTCCCTCTGAGTCTTTGGTCCAATATTAAGCTGTACATGCACAGGGTGAGATTCTGAGACCTGGCAGAAGGAAGATAATGGGAGGTATCGAAGCTTAGAATTGCTCGAGTTCTTACCCTCCAAAGTGAAGAGACCTTGCTGAACATACTAGGAATTCAGCTGAGACCCCAGAAAGGTCACACCTTAAGAAGAGGGTTACTGTAGCCTTAGTGTAGGGGCTACTCTAGACCCAGACTCTCAAATTCTAAAATCAAGTTTCAGCAGATCAAGCTCATCTGCCAATATATTAACTACTTTCCAGAACAAAACTGAACACTCTTTAAAGGGAGAAAAACAAAATATAGATGCTCCACAATGTAGCATATATAAAGTCCATCAAATAATAAAGAATTATTAGAAATTCAAGGAACAGGAAACTATAACCCATAACCAGAAGAAAAAAAAGAGTTGATAGTCAGGCACAAAAATGATGCAGATGTTGAAATTATCAGGGAAGGCCCTAAAAGGGGTTGCTTTAAATATTTTCAAGAATTTGTAAGAAAAGATGGACATAATGAGTGAACAGATGGGGAATATCACAAGAGAAATAGACATCATTCAAAAAGAGGACCAAAAGGAAATTCTAGAATTAAGAAATACAGCCATGTACAACATAATAATGTTTTGGTTAACAATAGACCACATACACAACAGTGGTCCCATAAGATTATAATATGGTATTTTTCTTGTGTCTTATCTATGTTTAGATACACAAACACTTACCATTGTGTTACAACTGGCTACAGTATTCATTCCATACAGTAACATGCTGTACAGACGTGTAGCCTAGGAGCAATAGGCTATGCCACATAGCCTAGGTGTGTACTAGGCTATACCACCTTGGTTTGTGCAAATACACTCTACGATGTATTTAAAATGACGTTCATACATGATGAAGTCACCTAATGACAAATTTCTCAGAACGTATTCCTGTCACTAAACAATGTGTGAATGTACATTTGAAATAAAAATTTCACTGTATGTGCTTAACAGGACAGTGGATACTGCAGAAGAAATTGTCAGTGAAGTTAAAGGCAGGGCAATAAAAACTATCCAAATTAAAGTAAAAAGACTTTAAAAATATAAACATAACCTATTGGCCTGTGAGAATATGTTGAGTGGTCTAATACAGGTGTAATCGGAGTCTTGGAAGAAGAGGAAAGAGAAATTACAGCATAAAAATTATTTTGAAGAACTAATAGCTGACATGGCCCCAAATTGACAGAAACCCTAAAAAACTCAAAAAAGATAAACACAGAAGAAATTACATCTGGGCATATCATAATAAAGGTGCTGAAAACCAAAGGGAATATCTTGAAAGCAGCAAGAGAAAAAAGACACATTATATAAATAGTGTCACTGAACAGTGGGGAAATGTTCTGACAAATGTGTCATCAGGTGGTTTCATCACTGTGTGAATGTCATAGCGTGTCCTTGCACAAACTTGATGGCGTTGCCTACTATGCACCCAGGCCATGTTGTATAGCCTATTGCTCCGAGGCTACAAACCTGTACAGCATGTCACTGTACTGGATAGTGTAGGCAATTGTAACACAATGGCAAGTGTTTGTGTGTCTAAACACCGAAAAAGTACAGTAAAAATATAGTATTATAATCTCATGGGACCACCGTCATATATGTGGTCTGCTGTTGACTGCAATGTTACGTGGTGCACGACTGTAATGAAAAAGAGAATGACTGCTGACTTCTCCCTAGAAACATGGAAGCCGTAAGACAATGGAGTGCTATTTTAAAGTATTTAAACAAAAAAAAAAATGGCATTTTAGAGTTCTGTCATTCAGAAGTGAAGGGGGTGGTGAGAGGGAGATACATATGGCTATAAAAAGGGAACAGATGGGATAAAATGTATAACAATAATAACTCAAAGTTCAAGTGCCAGCTAAATGAAGTATACCTCATAAGGTTCTTACATTACATAATGCATGAAGTGGTATAATATTAATTCAAGGAACACAATCATAGGTTAAAGATGCTTATTTTAATCCCTAGAGCAACAAAAAAGCTAATGGAGAAAATAAAGTGGAATACTAAAAAATACTTGATTCATCAAAAAAAAAAAAGACAGAGAAAAGAATAAGGAGAACAAAAACAGAAGGATTTAAGGTTACTCTGCTCCTAGAAATCATGAGGTCATTAAAGAAAAGTTCTTGGAGGAATTCCAAGGGACGATTTCAACAGAATTCCAAGGGTGGAATCACAGAGAGAAATCTGCTAATTGGATGTTTTTCCATTTCTCCGGACCTGATCCACACTGGATCGAGACCCCCTGGGGCAGCCATAGTTTCCTTGACATGCAGAAGTCTGGTTTGCAGGCCTTGCTGTCCCTGCCCCAGCTGCAGAAACAAATGTTTATCTCAAGGAACTGCAAGCTACTTTGATTCATTGAGCATTTTCTTAGGTTCCCATTACAGAGAATGCAGGAGGTTTCTTAGGAGGAGATATACATTCTACATCCTCTCGCTAAAAGGATAATTATATTCTCTAGGATATAGTTGATCAATGAGTGAGCTATGACTTGGAAGAAGCTAGGAGTGATGAGCAATCACTATACTGACAAAAAAGCCATAGAATGGCCTAGAAAATACCACAGAGCTCTTTTCCATTTTTGACACAGCTGTTAATTTGTTGTGAAATTAGGAGCAAATTTAACATGCTCTCTTCCAGAATATGGCATTACTTAGGACAGAAATCTTACTATAATAACAAAATTCGATGCAGAAAAGTTGATTTTTCAGCCATTTAATTTTGTTTCTATATCTTCAGCATCTAGATAAATAAAGGACACAAATGTTTCTTGAATCAATAATAATTTAAGATTTCAGGCAGATTCGGAGAAAGACTGTTCCGGTAGCTCAGACAAGAATTGATGTGGCTTTAGATTAGGTCAACATAGTGGAGTTAAAGAGAAATGGAACCATTTGAGAAATATTTAGAAAGTAGAGTTTGCTGAACCTGTTGTTTGGCAGCATGTTGTAGAAACGGGCAAGGGAGTTGTCCATGATGATCTCAGGTCAGGGGCTGGCTCGGACAGTGCTGTTCCTTGAGGTCGCACAACCAGGACGAAGAGCAAGTTTGGAGCAGGTTTTAGGAAGAGAAATACGGGTTTAGTTTTAGATACTTGGGGTTCAAAGTATCTGTAGTATATTTCAGTGGATACATAGGGTATGCAGATGGGTAGATAGGACTCAAGTTCATGAATACCAGATAAGTCTAAACTCCAACAGCAGACACAATTAAGATTCAAACTGGAAACTTCATTACCTGGCCTTACTTAACACTCTGTACCTTTGTTTTAATGATTATCATCCATTTTTAATAGACTTATTATTAGATTATTTCATATTTCTATCGCCTCTGTCACCTACATTTCAGCCCTGTAGCTCCAGATTTAAAAAAAAAAAATGTCAGGGAAGGATTCTGATTAACTAAAGGGAATTATATTCCTATCCCATTGGGCCAATCGCTGTGTTAAGAAACTGAGGTGCAATGATGAATCCGGCTCCGATCACATTCCCCTCTCTCAGCCGATGGAGAGGGGCAGGGCAGATCTGGCCAGTTCTGTGACTGGCAGAGTCTCATCCGAACCCTGTGGTGCAGTGAGAAAGGATCAGTTTCCCAAAAGAAGTAAACTGCTCCTACCAAGAAGATGTTGGAACTGAACAGACGAAACAAGAGCAACACGCTGCATCGCCTAACCTGAACCGTTACTGGTCCCAGAAACGTTGGTTTTGCTAAGATTCCACTGCGTCCTATTTGAAGTCTGGCTCTCGAGCCACAATCCGATTGACTTAATTGAGCATCACATACAGAGTGACATTTGGGAAGATGAGATTCTGAAAAAGCTAAAGGAAACCTCATAAGCCTTGTACTGTCGATTTGCTCACGTGTAACTCTAATGTTCTCTGTCAGATCCTGGCAAAACTCTGTGACAGTTTACATACTGATTCTCTGGCAGAAGTTCTACAGTGGCTGCTTCATGCAAGTTCAAAAGGTGAGATTAAGATAAGCATTTTTAAACACTGAGCTCCGTTTATTTTTAGAGACTGGGAATATGCCAATATCTGAAGTTTTCTACTTTGAATTTGCAAAGATAATGTTGCAACACTATTTCCCCAGTGTTTCAGCGTCAGAATCATTGCAGTCCATATACCCAACTGCATGCGTGTTGGTCCTTCATTGACCTCCAAATTCCACACGTCTCAGATTGGACTCGTTTGGGTGACATGAAACACTTGTGTCCAGGGGAGGCCTTATTTTCAGCTAGGGCTGGTTTGTGCTTCTCCTCCAGAGTCCACACACCCGGGGCTCTCCTTGAGCAGCTCCTCTGGCCTGGTGGGAACGCTGAACACAGCTTATTTCTTTCCTTTGGTGTGGATGGCAGTCATGAACTCAGTCATCTCCCAGCCTCCTTTGGGCCCTTCTTGTCCTGTCCCATGAAAACACATGCCGTTCCCAAGTAGGACAACCATAAATGGCGTAGAGCAACTATCCTCAGACCTAGCTAGTCCCCAGACTGACTGAGGCACAACCTCTGAGGTGGGACCTGAGAATTTGCATTTCTAGCCAGTTCCCAGGTGATGCCCATGATGCTGGTCTGGGGACCACTCTTTGAGAACCGCTGCACTAATCAGTGTTGGGAAACACCAATGTCTGAGGAACAGACCAATGTTTTAAAATCAGCAGCATTTTGGAAAAAATACCTTACCCTAAGAATTCAATAGTGCTTTGCAGGCAATTGAGAAGTGCTTGGGGGCAACGGGTCTCTAGCTATTGTCTATTTTTTTTCCTTTTTAAGAATGTAACATTTAATAAAGTACACAGGTGATAAATGCTTCTTGTTAGGAGAGAGAGCAGGTGAACCAGAAAGAAAAAAAAAAACACGAGAAAGAACAGGAACAATGAATAAAATTACCACAGACATTTCAGTGAATACTTCGGTGTCTATCTTTCTAGATATACTTGTAACTCTTGATTAATTCCAGTCAACATGATAATGACAACGTTTGCTCCCCCCACCCCTTTTTTTCTTTTAAATCAGAAAAAGAGTGGGTCTCAGCTTTGGTTCATTCGGAGCTGGCTGAGATAAACCTGTTGACTTCTCGAAGAGCAAACACCTCAAAGGAAGCAGCAGCGGAGACTGGGAAGCCACTCACCGTTAACTCACCACCCACAGTTAAATCGCCCCCAAATTCACCTGCAAAATCGACCATGCTGAGCAGCGTTAGAGAAGAACATCAACCACCCAGGTAAGTAGATACAATGGCTACCTAGAGCACCTGTGCTACATAAAGACTGAATTCTCTTGTCACTTACCTTTCAAAATGCTCACAGTGTTGCCCTTCTAAGTCTCCTCTTTGTTCAGAAAATGACTACAACATATGTTTGTTTTCCTTTTCCTGAATGTAATATGAGAGTTGTTCTCAATTCTATTGTCTAGAACATTTTGGCAGGAACCGTGAATATGTCTTCCTTATCCAATAATCTTTCTTTTTGAGGAAAATGTCCTTTTCACTAAGGGCAAAGCAAGAACAGTTACCGTAGAAATCTAAGAAAATAAAAGTTTTGGTTTTTTTTAGTTTGACTAAAAATAGAAGCAATTAAGGAAACCAAAATTGTATTGTTATGGTTATTGTATGTTTTGTCAAATGCATATCATGCAGGTATGACTTTTTTTGTGTAGAACAATGCAAGAGTAAAATAAATTGCTTTACTTCATTTTCTCTGACATACTTCTGGGGGCTTCCAGAGAGAAAAATAACTACGAAGAGAATTGGAAATTATTTCAGGGGAATTTTTTTCTTAAACCCTGTAGTTTCAGTAACAGAAGAAAAACACATATTTTATATAAACTATCATGATGAAAGAATATGTGATAAGATGT